ACATTAGCCATCAAGGAGCTTCAAAGCTTTAGCTTTTTCAAAGGTTGACAGGTCTGGGTTTGATAGGATCAGGATGACTTGAGTGACTGTACATGAGATGATTTCCATTTTATGTAAATGCTTGCAGGCGTAGAGAGAGTGCAGTGAGAGAGATGCTCAACTTGCATTGCTCCCTTGAGGAGACAGAAGAGTCAATGGAGAAAGAGCAGTTTCTCACGGAAAAGCTGCTCATCCCCATCCAGTGGATCCATCAGGCCAAGGCCATCCGTGCTTGTAGAGAGGGAGACAAACGTAGTGAGGCTTTGCACCTTTACAAGGCCGGCCATTGGAATCACTGCCATCGGCTGGTCATCCAGCACCTGGCCTCAGGTTTGAATAAGCAAAAAGCACACAAACACACTTTTAATGCCCCTTAAAAAAATGTCACGTCTGCAGCAATGCAAGCTACACATTCATTTTGCTGCCCAGTTCTAGACAACATATTTACATTGTACACATAAGCATAACTGCAAGTGGTTTAAACTTTGAGCCTTTCTTTGCTGTATCGGACACTGAAGTCATCAGGAAAATAACTGTAAAATGCTCTGTAATGTATAATAATTTGCAGTATAGACTTTTATGAAACAAAAAAAGTAACTACTTGACAATTGTTAAACTCAAACAACACTTTCTATTCAGTAAATCTGACTGAAGCTGCATGATTTAAGCATTGTTTTGGAGTTTGGGTAGTAACTTAAATTAAATTTGGTCCCCCAGCTTATGAAAATTAGACGCTATACTTTTTGTAATTTATAGGTTTTGTCGACGGAAAAAACATTTTATATCCATATTTTATGATTGAACGCTCTGTTCTTTAGCAGCTGCTGATGAATTCTGTATGAAACTGTATGGTTGTACTAACTGTACTAATTCCATCCTCCTGTCTTTTTTCCTCAGACTGCATCATTAACGATAATCATAAGTACCTTCTGGAATTCCTAGAGGGGTTAGCAGTGCCAGAGCGCAGTGTTCAGATTCAGGACTGGGACACGTCTGGACGAGTCTTTCTTGATTATATCCATGTCATTCAGACACTGCAGGACATCCAACAGGTATCCTGCTGTTCAGGATAGTATGTTGCTCAACTATAACAAAAGTTTAAGGAACTACTAATATGATTGTATTCTACTTTTATCTCTAGACGGAAAGCCCAGGTTATGAGCTGGAGCGACTGCATACAGAGGTGACGTCTCTCTGCAGCAGAATAGAGCGCCTCCCCTGCTCCAAAGCTAAAGACCGACTTGCGCAATCAGGTCTGAAAATCATTGGCTGTTTTGTGGGAACTTTATACTGCAATAATGTTGCTGTTAAGTTAATTTCAACTGCTTTTCTCATTAATTTATGTAACTGGCTAGAAATTATGTTCCTCGGTGCCTGAAGTTTAAAACCTCGTTTGATTTGCAATTTGAATCCACATAATTGCTGTAGAATTGTAACCCTGCATCTCTCTTGCCTTCTAGAGATGGCCAAACGTGTGGCTAACATCCTTCGGGTGGTCTTGAGTCTCCAGCAAGGTGGTGAAGGCACCCCAGATCCCCGACACATCCCTCTTTGCCAGCTTGCTCCACACATTGGACGTCTACCCATGCCAGAGGACTATGCTTTAGAGGAACTGCGCAACCTTACTCAGTCTTACCTGCAAGAGTATGTTATCAGTCACTGAATATCAAGATAAATGATTCTCAATCAGTTCTGCAGAAATAACATGAGTCTTGATTGGATTGACCTTCAGCACTCCAATTAAATGGCTGTTTCAGGCCGTGGTTGAATTTTCGATGCATATTTAGGCACAATATTTGTGAATTAGAGCATTCCCTTGTGTGTTTGTGTAGGAGCTTTTTTCCCCTTTCAAATCCTGTTTTGTAGTTCTAGAAATGAATGTGGGTGTCTTTATTAATTATTAAAGTATCTCTTTGAATGCACCTGTCGAATTTCATCTGCCCAAGATACTTAGAGGGAAAATGCCAGAGAACTTTTACATTTGTCTATTAAGTTAAAAAGTTATATTGTGAAGTATCATCTGGTCCATTCAAAGCTAAAATTTAATATTGTGTTGTGTGTTTTGAGCCCACAGTGTACTCTGACCACCAAACAATTCATAAAGACTTAAAAATGTAAACATTTTCTTTTGACCGTTCTTTTTCAGTCAGTGTTTTTAAATCTTAGTGTAACTGTGTGTATACCTTTTGTAAGTACAGTATTTTTATTGTTCCCATGGACTGCCTTAGTCTATAAGTTGCAAGCATGCTTCTGTGGGTGTAAATGATAAAGGTTACTCAACCTGGCTTGTAATAAGGTTTGGTCTTTTTTGAGGAGGTTAACCATTTTTTTATTTAAAATTAATCTCTCTTGACACCAAAATATACGGCAACATTTAAAAATGTAAAAGTGTGGGCATATCTATTTTTGTAGGATTTTCAAGATGTTAATTTGAAAGACCTTATTGTTAAAGGTTTGCCTAATGGAAAACAAAATAAATTCAGTGCTATTGATCTAAGAGGTGGATAGAAATATATTTTGTTTCTAAAGTATTTAACAATATGTGACTGGTGATTCTTATAAAACTTTAATCAAAGTCAACCTGACATCTCATCTGACTAGGATAGGGTTTTGCTGATGTAATTACATTACAGCATTATGTGAACCCTTCATCCTCAGGGTTTTTTTTTTTTTAGGGTAAAAATTTTTTTTTTAGTGCTACAAATGCATCAGCCACTAGTAATGCGCTTGTTTCCCGTAATGTTTATTTTCTCAAAACATTGTAAACATTAAGCAGATTATGTTTCTGGTAATTAAGATTCTTTGAATGGGTGTTTGTGGCTGTCTGATTATTGCTTTGCATTAATGTGCTTAATTCTTTTATAAAACGATGAATAAAATAATTTTCATTTAATAAAAATTTGTGTATATATATTCTGTTTATAGTGAGGTCCAAAACTTTGAGACCAATGTAAAAATGCTTATAATTTCTTAATATTTGATATGTCATACGTTTAATGACAAACACACGAGCTGACATGCCGGTGACTCACGTTCACACACTCGACACTATAATACTATACCTCAAAAGTCGTTTTCGTAGTGTTTTCTAAGTACTCGTCTCATAACTACAGCAACGCTCTCACTTTACCATACGACACATCTTTCTGTTGAGCTCGAGTAACAGTACTCCATATCTAGTACTGACACTCTTCGTCATCATCACTACTGTAATTAGCACGCGACACTTCTATCGCTTCGCGAGTTGCGCATGGATCTTGCGCTGCCTGATAACAAAACGGTACTGAACTATGGGAATACCTGAGAAATGCTGCATCTGCCTTTATGAGACCACAGAAGAGATTTTATTCCTCTTTCACGCCACAAAATGAATCCAAGTGTCATTCTGGCTTCTCTTCATTTGTTTATCACCAGTGGTTTTATTCCAGGTAAGACTGCGCTCACTTCCAGCGTATTTTTCGTATTTATATGTCGACTATACCTTAGTTTGAAAAAAGATTGAAATTACTTACATTTATTGATAGAACTAACATTAGTGTTTTATACTCCTTATACCGGCTATGTGTTTCTGTGTATTATTTTTTTTTTATTGCAAATTTTATTGCCCCAGAATTAAGTTTTTGTATGTTTTGGTGTGTCTGTTTGGTTATTTGGTAGATATAGACATATCAATGAGAATTCTTAAATATTATACTTGATGAAGATGAAAATTCTAAATTAAGCATCAGTTTTCACATGAACATCACTCCAAGAGATTCTGAGATGGACATGTCCTACACTAATCTGGAACATCTGTGAATTCTAATGACAACAGTGAACAGATGACAGCACTGATCTATAACTTACAATTTGTGTTATATTCTTATCAACCTGATATGTTGTTCAAGAGAATTGACCCAAATAATTCGTGTTTACAATACCATAGAGGCATGTAGACAAAGACCAGCAGTCCCAGAAATATCCAGAACTGATTTAATTCCCTTTGGAGTTTATTTATTTATTTTCCCCAATTATTATTAATTATGCAGCAATGGGAATCCTGTGAGTGGTCTGTATGTATTAGTGTCTGAAATTATGAAGAATTTGTAATTTACACTCTTGACTTTGAGCAATTTTGCTTATTCTCAAGTCCACACATTTTCTTTCTTTTTTTTAAATATAATTAATGTATTATTACATTTGCTATCTTAAAAAAATTTTTTATCTGTGGAAACTACCCAAATAGTAACTATATATGACCCACAAATTCCATGCATTTTTGCATTTTGTCTAAAGAAGCATCTTTAATACCAGTGTTTTTGCTTACAACAATTTGATACTTTCTGCACATTTGCTCAGTTCATGCTGCAGGACAGCAGCGCTGCCAGCTGGATCTCACACATCCTTTTCACACCACAGCCTCCATTTTATCTTTCATTAGAGCGCTATGTTGTCTGGCACTTGGACTGAATTGATTCGCTGGTGAAAGCGCTGACCACTCATCCTCAGGGAACTGGAGAAAGTAATTGAGTAAACGTGCTTGCTCACTAGAGTTCCTCTGCTGCACTCGGTGTGGCCATAGTTCCACTAAATATATGGGCTGCACACTTAATTTTAAACACAGATTAACAAATCTGCCATTAAAACATTAACCTGTGATTAAAGGTTTCACTTGCGATTAATTATGATTCAGTGTAGCCTTACTAAACTTCAACAATGTTACTCTTTTGTTGTATTTCACTCGTTACAGTTTCCATTTGAGTGACCACAAAAGGGCTCCTGCAAGTAGCCTAATGGAACTTTAAATTTAAAAAAACAAACTGCTGTTATTAACCACTATCAGATCATTTGCATAACCCATACAGGCTGAGAAAATGGCGCAGTGTATTAGAAGTTCAAACTTTACAAGCCATGAAAAAAATTTATTATATCAATTAATGGAGCAATATGGGACGATAATCGAAGACAAAAGGACAGATAACATGACAATTAAAAAGAAAGAAGACACCTGGGTCCAGCTAACCGCTGACTTCAATGCTTCTGTGGGGATTAAGGACAAGCGCGATGTAAATAATCTAAACCTGCTGGAAAAACCTCAAAGCTAAAGCGAAAAAAGATGCAGCACAGGAGAGAAGGGACACATTTCTCACTGGTGGTGGCCCCCCTACTGGAGAAATAGATTCATTGTCACAAAAAAATTATCCAGATGATTCCGCAACAGATAACCCCATTGCGCAACCCATTCGACGACGATTCCACTGCCGACCAGCTGGAGTCACCGACATCGTCCCACAAAAGTATGTTAGCTGCATTTCATTTTCACATTTCTTTGCTCTGGACATTGTTGGTTTGATAATGCGGAACTTACAATATTTATCCTATAACAAAAATATCCTATATCAAAACTTGTGAACACAGTCGTTATGTCTCGTTGATCTTATTTTCCATATTTACATGCTGCAAAGTTGTGTGATTTTAAATTAAATATTTCACTAATAATTCGCTCACTTTTCTCCTCTAATACTCATTAATATCTGATCTAATAACATGCAAGTCTATAATTTTAATTCCTTTTCATTTATTTGTGCAGATCGGCTTTTTGTAAAAAAAAACAAAAAAACAGCGCACCTCCCTGTTGAAAAAAACAGCATATGATGGTTAGGTATGTTTTGAAGCTGGGATGCTGGTTTGAGCTGGTTTAAACTGGTCCTTTGCTGGTTTATGCTGGTCCTTAGCTGGTCTTAAGCTGGACATGACCAGCTAAGGACCAGCATAAACCAGCAAAGGACCATAAACCAGAAAAGGACCAGCTTAAACCAGCTCAAACCAGCATCCCAGCTTCAAAACATACCTAACCAGCATATGCTGTTTTTTTCAACGGGGTGGGGGGGCTCAACCCCCGGTGAGGATAATAATAATAGCCTAATAATAAAAAATATATATAAATAATACAATTTTTTTTTGATTAATAGGGGTCGTATAATAAACTTATGCGACGTAAATAGTCTGAAAGCCTGCTGGAAAAACCTCAAAGCGAAAGCGAAAAAAGATACAGCACAGGAGAGAAGGGACACATTTCTCACTGGTGGTGGCCCCCCTACTGGTGAAATAGATTCATTGTCACAAAAAAATATCCAGGGGCGATTCTAGGATTTTCATTTTCGAAAAAACCAGCATATGCTGTTTTTTTCAACGGGGTGGGGGGGCTCAACCCCCGGTGAGGATAATAATAATAGCCTAATAATAAAAAATATATATAAATAATACAATTTTTTTTTGATTAATAGGGGTCGTATAATAAACTTATTGCAGTATTCCACTGTATTGCATAGATAGGTATAACATTTGAGTACTGAATAAGCCAAATTCAAGTCTTCATGGTCTCACACACACAACCTGTTTACTGTACAAACACAACATTTTACAGTTTGCATTTCTAGTACAACTCTCCTTAGCTCAAGTATGCAAACCTCTTTGCCACATGCACTGGAATGTGTATTATAGTGAAAGTCACATTTTCAAATGAAAATGGCAACATAATCGTTTTATAAAGTATGCGTTCATATGTGCTTCATTTTCGCTGGAGGAAACAGCGGTGGTGTGATGAGGGGTGAATGCAGTGAAAACTTAGGCTACAGTAGATGGGGAACCGATTATTGCTCCCCCTTTCACTGGAGGAAACAGCTGTGGTGTGATGAGGGGTGAACGCAGTGAAAACTTAGGCTACAGTAGATGGGGAACCGATTATTGGTCCCCCATGATATTTTGTAAACTGGATTTATGGCAAAGAACTGCACAGATGCAGATATGATAACAATCTATCGATAAACACACACATTGTCCTCTGTTTCTCGCTCTGCGCCGCCGCGGTCTGTGGATTGAAAAAGAACGCAAAGACGGAGAGGAGCCAATCGAAGTCTGCCGCTGTTTTCATATGAAATTTAAAGGGGATTGAGGCGATCACGAATTCATGTACAGTTTATTGAGCTAATCGCAAAATTTTAGGGGGGCTGAGTAGTCATTTTAGGGGGGCTATAGCCTAGCGACGCCCATGGGCTGCAGTTTGAAAGATTATTGTAGCTCTCCTGTTTCTGGCACTTGCTGAGTCCCTTAGCAGCACTCTCATTCATCATAACTGAGGCATCAATCTGCCCTGAGCTGGCAGACAAATCCAATATACAGAGTACACAATACAGAGTTTATAACTTGGAACTACAGTTTAAAGGAATAGCTCACCCAAAAATTTAAATTGGCTGCAAATGTACTCACCCTCAGGCCCTCCAGAATTATGATTTTAGATGAGTTTGTTTCTTCATCTGAACAGATCTGGAGAAATTTAGCATTATATCACTTTCTGTGAAGTGAAACATTGCATGTTTGTTACAAATCCATTGTTTTAACTTTTAAACTGTTACTTCTGGGTTCTAGACAAAATGTGGGTCCATAATCCACAAAAATGATTCTTCCAGTGAAGAAGTCCATTCCCTGTTGTCCTCTGATATATATATATATATATATATATATATATATATATAAGATAGATAGATAAATGATAGTACTCATGTAAGACAGACCAAATTCATTATACACTTCATGGAGGATGAACACTAAACACAGGCAAACAGGTGAACCCATAATACGAACACAGCACACTAAATTGCACGTTTTTTTCTATAGAAAGAGATGCGTAATGTGGATTAATGCATGGATATTATGCAATCAAATTCAGTATACACCGTATTAATATGTACAGGCAAGCAGATAAGCCTAAAATACAAATGCAATGAGTTGTTAGGTATGTTTTGACGCTGGTTTAAGATGGTTCTTTGCTGGTTTATGCTGGTCCTTTTGCTTGTTTATGCTGGTCCTTTGCCAGCACATGACCAGCATAAACCAGCAAAAGGACCAGCATAAACCAGAAAAGGACCAGCTTAAACCAGCTCAAACCAGCATCCCAGCTTCAAAACATACCTAACCAGCATATGCTGTTTTTTTCAACGGGGTGGGGGGGCTCAACCCCCGGTGAGGATAATAATAATAGCCTAATAATAAAAAATATATATAAATAATACAATTTTTTTTTGATTAATAGGGGTCGTATAATAAACTTATTGCAGTATTCCACTGTATTGCATAGATAGGTATAACATTTGAGTACTGAATAAGCCAAATTCAAGTCTTCATGGTCTCACACACACAACCTGTTTACTGTACAAACACAACATTTTACAGTTTGCATTTCTAGTACAACTCTCCTTAGCTCAAGTATGCAAACCTCTTTGCCACATGCACTGGAATGTGTATTATAGTGAAAGTCACATTTTCAAATGAAAATGGCAACATAATCGTTTTATAAAGTATGCGTTCATATGTGCTTCATTTTCACTGGAGGAAACAGCTGTGGTGTGATGAGGGGTGAACGCAGTGAAAACTTAGGCTACAGTAGATGGGGAACCGATTATTGGTCCCCCATGATATTTTGTAAACTGGATTTATGGCAAAGAACTGCACAGATGCAGATATGATAACAATCTATCGATAAACACACACATTGTCCTCTGTTTCTCGCTCTGCGCCGCCGCGGTCTGTGGATTGAAAAAGAACGCAAAGACGGAGAGGAGCCAATCGAAGTCTGCCGCTGTTTTCATATGAAATTTAAAGGGGATTGAGGCGATCACGAATTCATGTACAGTTTATTGAGCTAATCGCAAAATTTTAGGGGGGCTGAGTAGTCATTTTAGGGGGGCTATAGCCTAGCGACGCCCATGGGCTGCAGTTTGAAAGATTATTGTAGCTCTCCTGTTTCTGGCACTTGCTGAGTCCCTTAGCAGCACTCTCATTCATCATAACTGAGGCATCAATCTGCCCTGAGCTGGCAGACAAATCCAATATACAGAGTACACAATACAGAGTTTATAACTTGGAACTACAGTTTAAAGGAATAGCTCACCCAAAAATTTAAATTGGCTGCAAATGTACTCACCCTCAGGCCCTCCAGAATTATGATTTTAGATGAGTTTGTTTCTTCATCTGAACAGATCTGGAGAAATTTAGCATTATATCACTTTCTGTGAAGTGAAACATTGCATGTTTGTTACAAATCCATTGTTTTAACTTTTAAACTGTTACTTCTGGGTTCTAGACAAAATGTGGGTCCATAATCCACAAAAATGATTCTTCCAGTGAAGAAGTCCATTCCCTGTTGTCCTCTTATATATATATATATATATATATATATATATATATATATAAACCCAACACTGACATTTGTTTAGAACTGTTTTCACTTGTAAGCAGTGCTTGATCTGTTGCATGTTTCTCTCCTAATTCATACAAGAATACTTTTTTACTGGAGAAAGTAATATTTAATTTTTTTGCACACTTTTATATCCTGAATATTTTTATTGAAAATATAATTGTTTTCCCCCATTTATAAATAAGGAAAATGTGTGTAGCAAATTGTTTTGTCTAATGCTTTGCTGAATTATATTATTCTTGTTTATTTGTCCTAGTCAAATCCAATTGTCATAAATAATCTGGGGATTTGAGAAATCAGAACAGGGAATAATTTCACTTTCTTCTACATCAAACAAAGATAATTAAGCAAGTAAAATTGTTTGTGGTTTGACTGTAATTGTTCAGAATTATCATTTTTCAGAGGGGAACCATTACTGACTCCATAGAGTGCTGAAGGTCTGATGGGCTTATTGCCATAGAAAAATGAACAAATGCCTCAAGTGCTCATTTTTCATCAGCTCTGGACACACTAATCTATTCCATCACAAGCCACCAATCTTATTAAGGACATGAGAATAGCGGTTTTACTCAACATACTCAAGGAACCACCAGTTGACTTTGTGTCTCAATGGATTAATCAATGTAAATAAAACAAATCAGCCAAATGTAAATCCACTCTCTCATTTTTCTCTTCCTTTTCGACAGTCTGTTTGTGTGCCCAGGGGAGATATGCATTTAAGCTGCTGAATGATTTATTTGTGAATTACACCAATGCATTGAGGCCTGTGGAGGACACGGACAACATCATTAACGTCACCTTACAGATCACTCTCTCCCAGATCATCGACATGGTAATGACTTGCAGTCAATCACACATTCTTTCTCAGTCTCGTTCTCTCTGATGATTTTTTCCTAACTTTGCCCTTTTGAGTTGTGCTTTGGCAAGACTCTACAGATGAAACATTTGTAAACATATCACCATATATTCCCCAGCTGATTAATTACAGTGCTTTAACAGTTGTTTTGTTTTACACATTTTCTAAAATGTTGCTTAAATATGAAAATTATTTATGCAATAAAATTTTATTTTGACTAGTCTGAAAGAGGCATGAAAGAAGCATATTAATCCAAAATCTCAAAAATGACCAGTGCATGAAAAAAACAAAAAAACAAAAAAAAACAAACACATATTCACTATTAATTAAAAGTTTTCCCTCAATAAACTTTTAATCTGCTGCTTATTAATACTTAGTAAGGTTGTTAAGTTTAGGTATGCCGCTGGATTAAGGGATGTAAAATATGCTCATACAGAATAAGGCATTAATATGTGCTTTATAAGTACTAATAAACAGCCAATATGCTAATAATATGCATGCTAATAAGCAACTAGTTAATAGTGAGAATTGGTCCTTAAAAAAATTGTTACCAAAAAACATACTCGGTTACTAACGTAACCTCGGTTCCCTGAGATACGGGAACGAGTACTGCATCTGCAAACCCTCATTGCTTCTGATATATATATATATATATATATATATATATATATATATAAACCCAACACTGACATTTGTTTAGAACTGTTTTCACTTGTAAGCAGTGCTTGATCTGTTGCATGTTTCTCTCCTAATTCATACAAGAATACTTTTTTACTGGAGAAAGTAATATTTAATTTTTTTGCACACTTTTATATCCTGAATATTTTTATTGAAAATATAATTGTTTTCCCCCATTTATAAATAAGGAAAATGTGTGTAGCAAATTGTTTTGTCTAATGCTTTGCTGAATTATATTATTCTTGTTTATTTGTCCTAGTCAAATCCAATTGTCATAAATAATCTGGGGATTTGAGAAATCAGAACAGGGAATAATTTCACTTTCTTCTACATCAAACAAAGATAATTAAGCAAGTAAAATTGTTTGTGGTTTGACTGTAATTGTTCAGAATTATCATTTTTCAGAGGGGAACCATTACTGACTCCATAGAGTGCTGAAGGTCTGATGGGCTTATTGCCATAGAAAAATGAACAAATGCCTCAAGTGCTCATTTTTCATCAGCTCTGGACACACTAATCTATTCCATCACAAGCCACCAATCTTATTAAGGACATGAGAATAGCGGTTTTACTCAACATACTCAAGGAACCACCAGTTGACTTTGTGTCTCAATGGATTAATCAATGTAAATAAAACAAATCAGCCAAATGTAAATCCACTCTCTCATTTTTCTCTTCCTTTTCGACAGTCTGTTTGTGTGCCCAGGGGAGATATGCATTTAAGCTGCTGAATGATTTATTTGTGAATTACACCAATGCATTGAGGCCTGTGGAGGACACGGACAACATCATTAACGTCACCTTACAGATCACTCTCTCCCAGATCATCGACATGGTAATGACTTGCAGTCAATCACACATTCTTTCTCAGTCTCGTTCTCTCTGATGATTTTTTCCTAACTTTGCCCTTTTGAGTTGTGCTTTGGCAAGACTCTACAGATGAAACATTTGTAAACATATCACCATATATTCCCCAGCTGATTAATTACAGTGCTTTAACAGTTGTTTTGTTTTACACATTTTCTAAAATGTTGCTTAAATATGAAAATTATTTATGCAATAAAATTTTATTTTGACTAGTCTGAAAGAGGCATGAAAGAAGCATATTAATCCAAAATCTCAAAAATGACCAGTGCATGAAAAAAACAAAAAAACAAAAAAAAACAAACACATATTCACTATTAATTAAAAGTTTTCCCTCAATAAACTTTTAATCTGCTGCTTATTAATACTTAGTAAGGTTGTTAAGTTTAGGTATGCCGCTGGATTAAGGGATGTAAAATATGCTCATACAGAATAAGGCATTAATATGTGCTTTATAAGTACTAATAAACAGCCAATATGCTAATAATATGCATGCTAATAAGCAACTAGTTAATAGTGAGAATTGGTCCTTAAAAAAATTGTTACCAAAAAACATACTCGGTTACTAACGTAACCTCGGTTCCCTGAGATACGGGAACGAGTACTGCATCTGCAAAGACGCTATGGAGAAAACTCCTTTTTCTCCGATGACTGAAGCCTTTTTTAAAAACAATCTCTCAGGCTAGAGAAATGTCTACGAGACACATCTATGCCATTAAATGGTCGGTCTTCTCCACCTGGTGCACGACCCGCGGCGAAGATCCAACTTCCTGTGACATATCTCTGATATTGTCCTTCCTGCAAGATCTGTTGGACAAGGGCCGTTCCCCTTCCACGCTCAAGGTCTATGTAGCAGCCAGAGAAGCCTATCACACCGGCCAATCGGTGGGCAGGAACAACCTGGTTGTTTGCTTTTTGAAAAGGTCTAGGAGGCTTAACCCTCCTTGCCCCGCCACTGTACCTACAAGGAATCTGTCCACGGTGCTGAGGGCTCTAAAGTGCCCTCCCTTTGAGCTGCTACAATCCATTGACCTTCGTTCCCTGATGCTAAAAACTGTTCTGCTACTGGCGTTAGCATCGGTAAAGTGGATGGGAGATCTGCAGGTGCTCTCTGTGAGCCCCTCCTGCCTTAAATTCGGGCCCAACGACTCTAAGGCCTGAAACCAAGGCACGGGTACATACCTAAGGTGCTCTCCACTCTGTTCAGAGCACGGGTTATAACTCTATCGGCACTTCCTCCCTCGGAGGATGACCAGGAGTTGAATTTACTCTGCCCCGTCAGGGCATTGAGGATTTATATTGAGTGTTCCGCCCCGATCAGGCAGTCGGAACAACTATTTATTTGCTTTGGTGGCCGCACCAAAGGGCTTCCGGTCACTAAGCAGAGACTCTCCAGTTGGATAGTTGACGCTATTGCGCTAACGTACTCCTCTTTGGGCCTAAACTGCCCCATGGGAGTAAGAGCCCATTCGACTAGAAGTATGGCCTCGTCTTGGGCGTGGGTCCATTGCAGAGATCTGTGCAGCGGCCGGCTGGGCCTCGCCGTCCACATTTGCCAGGTTCTGTAATCTGGATGTCCAGGCCTTACAGGCCCGGGTCCTTTCTGCGTAATGGGCTCATTATTGTCTTAGGGCAACCAGTGCTTAGGCTTTACCTTCCTTCTTACGCTCTTGGCCCTCACTGAGTGCTGAAGCTGTAGGAGTTTTTCTTGGAACAATTACTCATGGCTAAGCTGACCTCTGTGAGTTTAGCCCTATTGCCTCCTTTGGGGCTTCCCTGCAAATGACTTGGCCCCTCTGGGCCCATTGTGGTGCTTAAGGCAGGTTCAAATATGAGTCGTTCCTCTAGCATAGCACGGCGGGATTGTACTGGTTCCCCATAGCGTCTTAGCAGATGCAGTATGAGTGAAGTATTGATAGGGAATGTACTCGGTTACTAACGTAACCTCGGTTCCCTGAGATACGGGAACGAGTACTGTGTAACTGGCCGTGCTATGTAGCTGCATGACTCAGTCGTCGCTTCAGTCGAAAGTAACCTGAGGATCCTATGGCGACATGCCCGCTTATATTGCCAGATGGCCCCACCCATTCTGGCGGGCTCTGGCGGGCTTTGTCGCCATAGGCTCGTGCAGCTCCTCTGTCGAGCCATTGGTCCGTTTTTAATTCACTGCATGAACCAATGACCGTGCAGTTACACTGCGTTATTAATACGCTCTCGGGGAGGTCCGCAGGCTCCCATCAAGAGGCCACAGGTGCAGAGCCCACAGTTCAGGCTGGGGGTGTCATATCGTTCTGTTCGCCTGAGAAAGGAGGTCTCGTCTCAGGGGAATGGGCCATTGAGCTGCTACAAGCAGCTGAGACAGCTCTGCGAACCAGTGTTGGTTCCTCCAGAGTGGGGCTGCTAACAGAACCTTGTGCCCATGCTCCCTGATTAAAAGGGGAAAAGCGTAAAGGAGGCGGTTGGGCCAGTTGTGGGCCAACGCGTCCACGTCCCTATAGAAATAAGTTGGGCAATGAGAGTTGTCTTTTGAGGCAAAGAGGTCGACCTCTGCCTTGCCAAAAATCTCCCAGATTTTCTGAATCGTTTGTGGGTGGAGCATCCACTCTTCCAAGGGGACATTGCTCCGAGACAGCATGTCCGCTCCTTGGTTCAACCTGCCCAGTACATGTGTTGCTCTCAGCGAACACAAGCTGAGCTGAGCTCATTCCAAGATGCGCTCTATTAGAGTAAAGAGGCGCTTCGAGGAGAGTCCTCCCTGGCGATTTATGTCCCAATAAATTAAGATTAAGCCCCAAACACACTGCCAGCATTTCCAGGCAGTTAATGTGCAGCCGACCTGCCTCTTTCGACCAGAGGCCAAAAGCCGGTTTGCCATCGCACAGTGCTCCCCAACCCATGTTGTAAGTGTCTGTCGAGACTACCTTCCTTCTGCAGACCATTCCCAGGGGCACACCCCGTTCCATCCACTGAGAGTCTTTGCAAGGGGCCAGAGCTGCCACACAGGCCTGGTCCACCTTGACATGAAGGCGTCCGAGATGCCAGGCGTGGGACGGAACTAGCGGTTTCAGCCAGTACTGAAGGGGCCACATGCAAAGCAGGCCCAGCTGTAGCACCGGAGATGTGGAGGCCACGAGACCCATCATCTTCTGAAAAGTCTTGAGGGGGTGAGAGACTCTTATTTTGAAAGAGGCTGTGAGCTGCTTTATATCCAGTGCATGTTCTGGCCCTCATTTGGGCTGAGTCAAAAACTGCTCCCAGGAATGATATCCGTTGGCTGAGAGACAGAGTGCTCTTGGCAAAATTGACCCTGAGCCCCAGGCATTCTAAGTGGCTGAGGAGAAAGGATCTGTGAGATAGTTTTATTTCGTAAAAGTGCGGGGAGCCAGGGACAGTCGAAATGGAAGGACCGTGTATTGATATGCCACTCCCTCGAAGGCGAATCTCAAGAATCATCTGTGATGAGGGGCTATCTGGATGTGAAAGTACGCGTCTTTCAGATCCAGGGAAAGAAGCAGTCCCCTGGGGACATCTGTGAGAGGATCTGTTTCAAAGTAGTCATCCTGAACATCCGTTTCATAACACGACCTGGTGAGTTCATCATGAACTTCCGGAAAGAATGGTGAAGCTCATTGACGAGGGGCTTGACGGCGCCTAGGCAAGAACCATTCATCCAGGTGGCTGCGAGTGGGCTCTTCTGGTGGAGACCACTCCAAACCCAGCTCTACCACAGCCTTTGACAGGACACGAATCAGTTTGGCGTCCATGCCTGACTTGGGCTCGCTGTGCTCCGTAGGCGGTAGGAGGCGGGGTTGTTGATTGAGCCCGACAGCTCCTCTGCATCTGAAGCCGCCAACGACATGCTGTCATCAAGTGCGTCACACTTGCTCCAACCAAATGAGACCAGGTCGCTCACAGCCGCGGAGGGATGCTGGTCTGGCTGGGAGAAGAGGATGGGGGAAGCCTCTCTATGCGGAGAGAGCGAGGCACGGGGGGCAGGGCCAGCATGAGCTTGATCGTCTGGCCCGCTGTTTTTTCCTTGCAGGCTCCTGGGAGGAAGAAAATGGGAGGGCGCGAGGGGTGGGGACGCTTTCTAAAAAGAAAGAGAGGAGAGACTCATATCCTCGCAGTGAGGACATTCCGTCTCCTTGAGTGCATCCTCAACATGGGATTTCCCCAAGCATGGGATGCACTCACCGTGACCATCAGCGGTGTGCAGGGGAGCCCTGCACACGAGCGACAAAAACATTTGCAACAATGCCGTGTTAAATTTGCTCTTTTATAAATCGCCGGATTGCGGCAGGAGATCCGGAAGACTGGTGCTGCTGTGGGTGAAGTCAGCCGAGGTGTTGATCCGCTGAGAGGAGTTTCTACGGCGAAGCTTCATATCTCGTAGTATCAGCGAAGATCGTGGTCATCGCTGAAGGAGAAGAAATCTGAGGATCCTATGGCGACATGCCCGCTTATATAGCCAGATGGCCCCTCCCATTGCTCTGGTGGGCTTAGTTGCCATAGGCTCGTGCAGCTCTGCTGCCGAGCCATTGGTTCGTTTTTAATTCACTGCACGAACCAATGGCCGTGCAGTTACACTGCATTATTAAAAAAGGCTACAGTCATCGGAGAAAAAGGAGTTTTCCCCATAGCGTCTTAGCAGACGCAGTACGAGTGAAGTATCGATAGGGAACTATGGTTTTGCTTGTAGTGGCTAGCCTTAAATATCTTAAAACACACATGATAAGAAATGTAATTTTTGTAAGTATGTTGGATCCATATATTTAAAAAAAAAAAAATTCAAATTTTAACAAATATTTTGATTTAATGATTGTAAAATGCCAGCTTGTACAATCATTAAGTCAATATTTTCCTTACACCTTGAATACACATGGAAGCACCATGTATACACCTTTCCTTACATATTGAATACACATCGTAATTGCTATTTTTTTTTTTACTATTTTTGAAATATTTAACAAATGTCTTCAATTTCTGAATCATGAACCTGAACTAAATTTAGAGATTTAGTGCGACATATATTAAACTTAGACATACTGTATAGTCCATCATTGCAAACTTGACATAACATTGATTAAAAGGTCAGATTATCTTGTACATATTATTGTATTATCAGAAACTTACTGACATCATTTTTACTGTGACATGTTGCCATCTTAATACAAACTGTTTATTAAAAAAAAATTAAAATAATAAAAGATTATGCTAAATTTAATTAACTCAAGACACGCAGACTTTTAATAAGACTTTTTTGTCTTTATACAATCTCTAGACAGTTATACCACATATTATTATATTATATTTATTTTTAACATGCCTCACAAAAAAATATAAAAATTCTTTGTAATTCAAGCATGTTCATCATACCTCAGAGAGTGGAGAGAAGGATGAAAATGAGTGTATGTTTGCTGATAAGATGTGTTTGACAGTTTGTGGTATTTTTGTACATTGATGTAATATATACATATACATTGTACATATACATTTCAATGTATTTTTCAATCAATTCCTGACAAAATTTGTGTCACATCAATTAACATTTCAACTGATTTTAACTGATCAGTGATTTTGATGTTTATTTTGCTGACTGGAATATATTTATTAATATGGGCTCTAAACCCATATTAAACCCATATAAAGCTCCAACCTTTTTTCCTAGGATGAAAGAAACCAGATCCTCACAACATACTTGTGGATTCGTCAGGTGTGGTTTGATGCCTACCTCACCTGGAATAAGACAGACTACGATGGGATTGATACCATCCGTATACCTAGTAGTTATGTATGGAGACCCGATATTGTCCTATATAACAAGTAGGTCGGATTGGTATTGGGTGTCATCGATTCAGCCACCAACTGAATGTCATGTCCCGTCCATCAGTTTGTTGTTGCCAAGGACACAGGCTGTACATTCTCATGAACTGCTTGTTCATGGGAGGGTCCAGTCAATATGTTCTTTCTTCTTCTCATAAAATCTTGATTGCAATGTTATCAGTTAATTTAATAGCAAAAAAGTTTTAAAATTAAATGACTCTGTGTTAATCATAATCTATCTATCTATCTATCTATCTATCTATACAGTGTATATATGAGCAGTGTATATATGGGCCTGAGCTCTCCACTCATTATTTTTAATGTCCAGAAAGCTCATCATAGCAAAACATGCTACAAATAGTAATTAATTTATATAGCAAGTTTAGATTCTGACCCTTCAATGCTTTTGGGCAGTTTTGTGTGTTACAAAGCAAATAATAACAAATTAATCTGATTCACATGATTACCTCGACATCACTCTGTAACGTGGTTGCTTTCAATGTAAATACATATTCAGGATTGGAGGGGGCAAAATATGATAAATTAACCACGAATTATCACCCCAAAATGAAAATTTCTTGATAATTTAGTCACCCTCGGGTCATTCAAGATGTAGATTAGTGTTTTTTTTTTTTCATAATCAGAACCGATTTGCAGAAATTTAGCATTACATCACTTGCTCACCAGTGAATACTCTGCAGTGGATAGATGCTGAGAGAATGAGCAGCGGATAAAAACATCACAATAATCCACAAGTAATCCAAACAACTCCATTCCATCAATTAACATCTTGTGAAGCGAAAAGCTGAGTGTTTGTAAGAAACAAATCCATCACTGAGATGTTTGAGACCTCTATCCATTTGTTTGAGGCATCTATTCTCCAGTAAAACCCACATTTTTTAATTTCACAAGACTTTATTTGATAGACTGGAGTCATGTGGATTACTTGTGCTAAATTTCTCCAAATCTGTTCCGATGAAGAAACAAACTCATCTATGCCTTGGATGGATGGTTAGTAAAGTTTTAGGAAATGTTCATTTTTGGGTGAACTATTCCTTTATTGTTTTACAGCGGAGATCAAAATTAGAGAACACTTTATAAATACTTGATTTTTTTTTTTCTGAAATATTGTTAATCTTCATTGATTAAATTACTATATACCTCTGTTATACTAACATGTTTGACGAAATAACCAAAGAATTTCAACAAAAACCTTTATTTTGAGGAAAAGACAGTGATCAAAATTAGAGAACAGTAACTACTGTAGCACAAAAGAAGATTACAATAAATTTTTTTATAGGGTTTTAGCTGTCAAAATGTTTTAGAAATTGTAGAGGCCCTCACTTTGAATGACTGGTGAGCTTTGAAATCCAATACAGCCCACCATCCAAATAACACCATTCCAGGATAGAAGGAAAAATGGATGAGGCAAAATACCGTCAAATTCTTGTCCTCTGCCCTCTGCCAGAAAGATGTCAATGGGAAGAAGATTTACCTTCCAACATGACAATGACCCAAAGCATAAAGCAAAACTGATCACACAGTGGTTAAAGGAGAAAAGGGTGAATGTCCTTGCATGGCCTAGTAGGAGCCCAGACTTAAACCCCATTGAAAATCTGTGGAATGACTTGAAGACTGCAGTCCACAAATGGTCACCATCAAATTTAACTGAACTTGAGCAGTTCTGCAAAGAAGAGTGGGCAAATATTGCAAAGTCTAGATGTACAAAGTTAGTAGAGACATACCAACAGACTAAAGGTTGTAATTAAAGCAAAAGGGGTTCAACAAAATACTGACACAAGGGGGTGATTTTTTTCTGACATGTTGGTGTTATATCTTTCACTTGGATGTTATAAGTTGCACTGAGTAAATACTGCTGGATAAAACAAAATCTGTGTCTGTCTTCACTTCAGGCTGCCAAACAACAAAATGTGATTATTTTAAAGGGGGGTGATTCTTTTCTCTACCCACTGTATCTGTAAGTGTTCTCTAATTTTGATCAGAGTTCTTTTTCAAATAATTAATTTGAGTGTTTTTTTTTTTTT